TTCGCATCCGTCCATGCAGCCCGCGCATGTGCTGTACCTACTGTACGTCTGCTGCTGCTGCTGCATGCTGCTGGAGCGGGCTTGGCGTTCGGCAACTCTCAACTCCGCGCGCGTCGTGAGGTTGACTTGCAAAGATTTGATCGACGATGTGTGAGTGAGGCGCGCGAGATCTACCTGTACTACTCACACTCGTTGTGCTATAGCTGAGTGAGACGTCTGCGACTGCGCGCAAATCAAGCACGAATCAGAATGTAAAGTGTCGTTGATGGTCGCAGCAGTCACGTGAGTAGCTCGAGCGCATCCACGCGAATGGAGATACGCATCCACGATCGATGGGTCTCCATCCACAGCGAGCGAATGAAGAGGCTCAATCAAGTAGTCTGAGGGTGATTTTGGCGCGAAAGAGATTGGCTCCAGACAGCCTCATCATCACCCGCGAGGCACGTGTGGCTTGCACGACCCGGTTCAAGTCAAGATCGAGTGATCAAGTCGTCGCGAGTCGAGTCAAAGTGTGCGAAGGTACTCGTGACTATTGAGCGACAGTGGCCACCAATGGCCGCGAATCGTCAATGTATTCACGATTTGTCTGTGAGAAATTATGCGCTCTCGCACGACATACAACAAAGTCCAAGACAAACCGGCACACACAGCATGGCTAGGCTGACTGTTCGCGTCCAATCGGCGTGCGTACGTGGTAAGAATGATGTATGTAGGTAGCATCGAGGCATACACATCAGCTTCAGCAAGGGTGCATGGGTGCAACGTATCAATTTGCTTCGCCTGGTGAATCGGCCGGCCAGTTCGGCAAATTCAGCACAGCACGGCATGCAGCAAGCGCGCCGTTGGCATGTCACATTCACAAATTCGCCGAAGGCCGCGCCCTCATCAGCTATAGCGAGCTCGACAGCCCTCGTTTCAAATCAGCCGGACGCACATCTTGAAGAATCTATTATTGACCCTGCAGCCGCGTGCTCCGCTCATGGGCTGATGTGGCCAAATACTCGATGGTGACCCTGACTGATCATCGATCGAGTTACGGCCCAAACGCGATGCGTCGACTGCACATCGCGGTGCACCGCGCGCCCATCTTGTGTGCTTGCTGTTTCACATTGTGGCTGAATTGCTGTGCGGAGACGAGGAATAGACTTTATGCTGTCTGCGCAAAGACACCGCACCCGGCAGTGCTGCTCCGAGCTGTAGGCAGCACTCAGCAGGCAAGGGTCAGCGTATACGCGCAAGCAGCAATTCGTGATTGAGCCGCGCCTATAGCGTTTCCTCGAAATGAACCTCCTTCAGCAAAGATCTTGGTGTGCTTTCATGCCGCATTCACGATCTCCCGAAGATTCGTGTACCGGTACCTGTCGCAGTCTGAGTGTGGAGAGATGCGACTTGGCTTGCATGGGTCATCAGAGTGCAAGTCTCTTCTGCATGGGCACAAGCCCTGCCAAAGCGAGCGCTCCTGTCTGCAGCTGCAGCAGGCCACGCCGTGGCTGAGTGCAGCACGCGGTATTCCTGCGCTTCAAGATTTGCAACGCAACGCAACGCAACGCATCGCAACGCAACGCAACGCATCGCTGTATGGAAAGCATCGTACACTCAGACTGCCGCACTCACGGCTCGGCGTCGGGGTATGACTCTGCGTTCCGTCCACGATCGCTTCCCTCGCTCAGGAGCTGACGCATCACACGAGCATTTCCAGCTCGCTTCACCATCGACTGGCGATTCGATCCTGGCAACCTTGTAGACTCTTGTGACTCTTTGGAACTTTCGATCTTCATCCTCCCCCGGCTCGGTGCTTGCCTTCGTAATCGCACATTGCCTCACTCTTTGGTTCCTGCCACCCAGTACCGCTGGTCCGCCCTCGCCAAGATCGTTTGAGCACCATCCCATTGCCCTCGAATAACACGAACACGATCAGCCTACTAGAGGAGGTTTCTCGACGGCGGCAGCGACGTGGAGGGTGGCGCATGAGGGCTTGGTGTTGTCCACGACGACGAATCCTCCACGAGCAGCGCGCAGCTCTATGAGCTTATCGAAAATGGGGGAGATGCTGAGGCGTGCAAGCTGCTCTGGCGGCTGCTTTTCCCCCGATGACAACAAGCGCGTGTATCTGGCCAGCTACTTCAATGCCCACATGCTCTCCAAGCCATCATGGAGATACATGTACCTGCTGTGGTTCATCATTGCTGCTTTCGCCATCTTCGGAGCTGCACTGCATCACTTGCACCTCAGCAAACGCACTCCATACTTGGCAGCCTTATGGCAAAAGGTAGGCGTGAGGAATCGAGTCATCAAGATTGGCGAGAAGGAGCCGTCGTCGAAGCCCCGGCCTGTGGCGGAGAAAGTTACGCAGAATGCAGCCGCTCGAATGCTAGGGCGGCCAGCTCCGGAGCCTAGTCAACAGATGCGGCCACCCTCCAGAAGAAGGATGATCATCTTGCCCTCTGTTGCGAGGTGCCTCTTCCTGTGTGCTTTGCTCCTCATCCCCATTCTTCTGACCATCATTGGCGCCGACTACATCAGACCAACGGCTGGCATATTCGACATGTCCGCCTCTTTCCCTAACATCACAGATCCGGGAACGCCACTCTTCGCCCGAAGTATTGGTGCTCTCGATGGGATCGCGGAAGCATCACAAGGGCCATACCGCCGACACCTCTCCTGGGGCATCGGTTCCTTTCAGAACATCGGAACTGCCCCCGCCACAGTCACACTACCATATCGGACTTGGTGGACAGCGGGTGGTCGGACTGGCATCATGACAAATGCCCTTACGCCACTCATAGTCGTCGTCGCTCTAAAAGCTCAGCCCTTCGCTATCTTCAGCACTCGCTTGCTGGGCGGGCTTTCCTTCGACAGGCTCTCGTTCGTACACAAGTGGGGTGGAAGGATTGTCTGGCTCTTCGCTGCTGTGCACGTAGCTACTTGGAGTGTACAGCTCAAGCTCGACTACGCTTTTGGTGGAGATATGTGGGCGTTCGTATTTCTATGGAATCGTTTCAGATGGGGCTTTGTGGTGAGCATAATACGTGTACCGGGCGTAGCAAGAGATAGACATTGACATCGAAGTCCGTGTCTTCTCTTACACATTTAGTCATTTGGCTTCTTGACTCTACTCACCTTGTTGAGTCTGGGGCCCCTGCGTCGAGACTATTACGAAGTTTTCTACGCGTGCCATATTGTATGCGCAGCTGGCACGATGATCGCTGCAGCTCTTCATCACCCTCCACTTGGGGCTTGGATGTGGGCAGCGCTGGCCTGGTGGCTGGCGGAGCGCGCATATAGAGCCTTGAAGACCGCTTGGACAAATGGGCTGGGCTTCAGTGGCAGAAAGCCAAGGCCTCTGCAAGCGGACCGCATGTCGACGACGCCTACTTCCGCTGGGTGGCCGCAATCGCCCTTCCCCGCCAGCGCTGGACCACACGAGGAGAAGAGCTGGCACATTGGCGGCCAGCCGGCTACACAGCGCCAACAATTCAGCTCGCTGGGTAGCCTTTGGGGTTATGAGTCTGACTCGTCCGCCAACAAAATCGATTCGTACTCCCGATCGACTGCGCCGAGGTCGGAGGGCTCTACTACTGATGGGCATGGATATCGAGTTCGCCACAACGGGTCTGCCGGCATCGATCCCCCTCGTCGGTTCTCAGCAGCCACCGTTTCGACTTTCGTGGGTAGCGAGGCACCAGGAAAGCCAATTGGTGACCGCAATGGCAGCTCGAGTAGCGAGGCTTCTGGGTATGGGCATTGGAATGAAACCAATCGCGGCAGTCGAGGCGTAATCACGGATTACCTTCCAACTCAGCTCAAGCGCCAGACGCCTGACAGCGCGCAGTACGACCCGGTGTCAGACGTCGTTGATGACTACTCCGATGCTGACACTGACGCCTCACGCCGTCAGACGCTGCAAGGGGACGTGACGCCCAAAGAACGAGGGGTGCAACTGTCGGATGGTCACCTCGTCAACCAGCAATATCGCCCTCCGTTCGCACCACGCAACGCACGTCCTCTGAGCAGTGCTGACATGTACAAGCAGGAAGCGATAGACCCGCCTGCGAACGCCGCGAACGTCGCGAACGCAAGGCAAGGTCCGGCTGCGCGGTGGAGCGCGACTCCAATGCAAGCTTCCCAATCGCACTTCTCGCACGACTCTCGCGGCGCCGCTGCGCAGGTCACTCACCCAAATTCCTCATCACGTCCACTCTTGAAGCGATCAGCAAGGCCAGCGATCGCCGCTGACGTAGCTGCAGTGATCAAGCCAGGCTTCGCTTTTGCTCAGCTGCTGCCAGGAAAGACTGTCCGCATGACCTTGCGAACACCGAACAGAATGTGGTGGAGGCCGGGACAATACGTCAATCTGAATGTGCCGGGTGTGCGATGGTGGGAAAGTCATCCTTTCACCATTGCTTCAGCATATGACGCAGGTGCAGGTGCTGGTCTAACTCACGCGCCTGGCGAAGAGCGGACAATTGTGCTGCTGTTACGAGCGCGGCACGGCTTCACACGACACTTGTGGGATCACGTTTGCGCGCAGAGAGAAGCGCAGCTCATCGAGGCTGGTGCTGCCGCCCACAAAGCGACCGCTGGAGTGCACATCCGCGCGCTCGTAGATGGTCCCTACGGCTCTTCTGCGAGAGTCAATTGGGAGGAAAATGGCACTGTGCTCATCATCTGCGGAGGCAGTGGCGTCTCGTTCGGCATGTCCGTTCTGGAGCATCTCTGCGCCAGAATGGCGAGCGCTGGGACTTCCAAGGATAGCATGCCACTGACTAGAGTACGCTTCGTGTGGATGCTACGCGAGTTCAGTCACCTGCAGTGGATTGCCTCCGCGCTCAGAAGATGCATCGAGCTTGTGGATCCAGCTTATTTGCGCATCGACCTCTACGTCACCCATCTTAACAACCTCGAGACGCCCTCCACCAGGCGACCTGCAGCAAGAGGTCCGACTGCTGGCATCCTCGGTGAAGGCAGTGCTTACGGTACACAGTCGGACGGTGGTAATCGGATGAATAACAGAAGCGCTTCGGCTTATGGTGATGGCGTGCCAGAGACTCCAGGCTTTGGATACAATCGATTCACCGAAGCCTCTGCAGGTCAAGGGGAGGAGTACGACGTGTCTGCCTACGACTTGACGCAATTTGACGGCGAGGATTTCAGCGCGCCCTCTGCTACAGAGGTTCGGCTCAACGAGCGTCTGCACAAGGAAGGCAAGTTGCGACGAGCCAATACCAGGAAGCAGTCTGTGCGCAAAGCTGGACGAAAAGCCAAGCAGAGTCCCGACGTCTGGGCTGCTGATATCACTGAAAATAGCCAAAGAGCGCTGTATGGCCAGGACAGCGAGACTGAAGATTTGAAGCCCGCAGCTCAGGAACGGCGCCAACCCGAATCGACTCCAAGCAGTCATCACCTCCTACCGCATGGACCCTCGTATATGACGAGTGGCGACGGAAAGCTTACGCCCGGTACGCTCACTCCATCTGGCGCACTCACGCCTTCAGCACCTCCATCCCCGAATCTCTTCCCTCAAAGCCGACCTGGCCTGAGCTCTCATCGAAGCAGCATGCTGGTCACGCCCATGGCGAGTACCACGAATCTCATCGCCACTGCGCAGGGCCCTGCCGGTGGCGCAGGTGTGGATTTGGAGCACGGCATGGTGCCGCCCGGCACTGCTAGCTTCGACGCGCCGATCGACCTGGACCCTCTCGAGGACGCTGATATGAGGGCGGTAGCCGAATTAGCGCGACCAGGTCACCCTCGCCTGGATGCGATTGTCCGTGAGGAGTCCGAAAGACTCGTCTCAGCGCGAGGCATGGGTTATGGAAGTCAATCACGAAGCGTCCAGAGCCTTTTGGTAACCAGCTGCGGACCGGGAAGTCTTTCTAGTCTTCTGCGCTCCATCGTGTCGAGGCAGATCGATCCGAGTGGCATTCGAGGCGGGACAGCACCCTACATCGATCTTGTCACCGAGAGCTACGAGTGGGGAGGCTCATGATGCCAGTCGCTCCGTCTGCTCTCATTGTCCATCGCCGTATCCGATTGCATTTGTAACTTTCATCTTTCGCTCTACATAACCCTGCTTTGGAATGCAACGGACAATTTTGGCAATGCATCACGCGTGAGGATCGTCGTAGAGCTGCAATGCTCTTAGCAGAGAGTGGTGCCC